CAGGAATGAGTTAATGTTATCTGATAGTCCCTGGGATTATTACTAATCATATTTAGTGCTTGTCTTCTCTCGCTCCGTGCACTTTCTGCTCAGTGGATAAGCACTGCTTGAGGCGGGGACTGCCACACAGAAAGAGGAAGTGGCATCCTCAAGGTCCCATTGCAAGACATGATAAGAGCCAAGAATAGAAGCCAGTTCCCTGACTCGCAGCCTGGTGTCCTATCCCCTGGCTGTCTTTGCCTCCATACTGGCACTGCTTGTTTGCTTACCCTCTTCTTTCTTTAGTCCTGTTGAAATCTCTGCTCCCAAGGTAGGATCAGACTTTGCATAAGGCGCTAGCTCTGAGGCATAGCAAGGCAGTCTGCATGGGGGGAAGTTAGTGTGATATGACTGGGGCCAAAGAGGCCTCCTGTCTGTTCTTTCATCTCTCCCTGTTAGAAGTACATACTTGGGGACAGGGAGCATAGAACAAGTGGGACAGGCCCTTCAGGCACTCGTGGTGATGGCATCCAATATCCCAAACAAAGGAAGGCTACATCTGTATGGACAACGGGAAGCTAGAACACAGGAACTCACTGTGCATAGACTGCCCAGATGAGGAAACACTCAAATCCCCACTTCTTAAGGTATGTCTACATTACAAGCACTACAGTAGCACAGCTACAGTATTACAGGTACACCAGGGTAGCATATGCACCTGCTAGAGCAACAGAAGGGGGTTTTCTAGCACTATAATAAACTCACCCCTAGGGAAAGATATTGACAGAAGAATTCTTCCATCAGCCTAGCAGCATCTATACCAGGACCCAGATCAGCTTGACTGCACCTCTCTACAGTGTAGCTAAATTAACCTAAAATGTGGACAATACCTTAAACTCTAAGCCCCACAACTAAACCATAGTAACTGCTGAGCTTGCATTTCATCACCGAACCAAAGTTCACTACTCGTTACATCAGCATGACCTACTCACACCAGGGCATGCCCAGCACAACCCCTAGGCCTTGCATGACTACAGTAATGATAATCATCTGTTCTGATGTACAGGCGAGTCGCATCATACGCGCATTTAACTTACACGAATTCAACTATACGTGCTCGGCAAAAATAAGAAAAACAACAAGATACCTGTAAATAGTGCGGGCGATTCCACACAATGAGTGTATGCCCCGGAGTGAGCGTGAGATGGGAGATGTGAATCTGCTGTTCCCTCGGTCGGTCTCAGTTCCCGCGTGCCTCTCATAGTGTCAGCATCTCGCCGCGCTGAGTGTGATTCTAGTGTTTAAAGATACGTATTTTTCATACAACATGGCCCCTAAACACAAGCCAACTACTTCATCTGGTGCTCAACCGAAGAAACAGCGATCTGTTCCAATGCTGGAGGAAAAACTGGCTGTGTTGGACTTATTGAGAGACGGTACGTCGGTCTCCAACGTGGCACGTAAATATGGCCGCAACGAATCTAGCATCCATGCCATCAAGATTCAAGAGAGAGAAATTCGTCAAGCCGTGGCATCAAGTGCTCCAATAACTGCTAAGGTGACGAGCCAGGTGCGTGATAAGACTTTAGTGAAGACTGAAAAGGCATTAAACTTATGGCTGGAAGACATGAATCGTAAACGTGTGCCTATCGATGGCAACACGTTGCGAGAAAAGGCTCTTAGACTCTACGCGCTGTTCAAACCTCCTGCTGAAGGGGGACAGCCTTCTGATGAGAAGGAATTCAAAGCCAGCCAAGGTTGGCTTAACAGTTTTAGGAACCACTTCAACCTCAAAAACGTGCAGACTACTGGTGAAGCTGCATCTGCCAATGAAGAGGCAGCAAAAGCCTACCCCGAACAATTAAAGAAAATCATAGAAGAAAAGGGTTATCTTCCGGAACAAGTTTTTAATGCTGACAAGACTGGGCTCTTCTGGAAAAAAATGCCCAACCGCACTTACATTTCGAAATCAGAAAAACAAGCCCCTGGCTTCAAAGCAGCTAAAGACCGTGTGACTGTGTTGTTTTGTGGCAATGCAGCTGGGCATTTAATAAAGCCGGGCTTGCTCTACAGGGCTGCAAATCCCCATGCCCTAAAAGGCAAGAACAAAAATATCCTGCCTGTGTTCTGGCAATCAAATAAAAAGGCTTGGGTGACGGCAGCATTATTTCTGGATTGGTTCCACAAGTGTTTCATTCCAGAGGTCAAGCGGTACCTCGAAGAGAAAGGACTTGACTTTAAAGGGTTGCTGATTGTAGACAATGTTCCTGGCCACCCTGTGGCACTCCGGTTTGCACATAACGACGTTGAAGTCATCTTTCTCCCCCCCAATACCACCTCCATCCTCCAACCTCTCGACCAAGGCGTGATTTGCTGTTTCAAGGCCACGTACACGAGGCTTACGTTCTCACGGATATGTAGCACTATGGATGCTGATCCCAATCTTAATGTGATGGAGTGTTGGAAGTCCTTCAACATTGCCAATTGCATCACTTATATTAAACAGGCAATGGATACAATCAAGCCTGAAACAGTCAATGCATGTTGGCAAAACCTATGGAAAGAATGTGTGAATGATTTTAAGGGTTTCCCGACCATTGACAAAGAAGTGAAACGCATTGTTTAGGTGGCCAGGCAAGTGGGTGGTGATGGCTTCGTTGACATCCTTGAGGAAGAAATTGAAGAATTAATTGAGAGCCATAGAGAAACATTGACTAACGAAGAGTTAGAGGAACTGATAAAATCGTCTACAGAAGACAAAGATGATGATGACGAACAGGAAGAGCCAGGAAGTTGGAATCTTCATAAATTTGCTGAAGTGTTCCAAGCAGCGAAACACTTGAATGATTTAATTTCTGAATACGATCCCTCTATGGAACAAAGCCTCAAAATCACACGTAGTATTACGGACGATTTGAGACTGTATCAAGAAAAGTTTGAGCAGCTCAAGAGACAACAGCGACAGTTACCGATCACCATGTTTTTCAAAGAAAAACAGCCAGCAGCAGATGAGCCTACGCAATCAACTTCTTGAGCTGAACCAGAGCCAACCACTTCGTCTGTGACTGGCTCTCCATCACCCAAGCTCCGTTTCCTGGATCGACATCAAGCCCTGACGACCCCCTGTAATTAAAAATACAGTACTGTAAAATTATATTTTGCATATGTACTCTTTATTATATACTGTACATTACTGTATACATTATACATTTATACATGTTACTGTACAGGGTTGTATACACAAACCATGTACAGTATACTGTACTTTATGGGCGATTTAAGTGATTTTCAAGGGTAATTTTAACTATACGCGATTTTCGCCTTACGCGCTGACTTTAGAACCTAACCCCCACGTAAGATGCGACTCCACTGTATACAATCCAAACATAAACAAAGGCCAGCTAAAGCAACAAAATTCAGAAAGTGGAATTCTAGGGAAACAATATTCTAATTTATGTCAATGAGTCTAGACAGAGCTAGGTTTTCCCCATCTCACCTACAGGAGGAGCAGAGAGTTCCATTCCTCTAAATCTTCTAGCCTTGGGGCTGACATGGAAGATGGTGGGAAGCTAGAACCCAGGGGAGTTCCCTCTGAAGCACCAGGGTAGGCTGCAGGCCAGCTGGGCCCATTTTGCTTTGGGTTTTGGTGGTTTTTGAGGAGCTAGGGCAGAGCTGTTTGAGACAAGGGCTTTGGAATGGGGCATTTCCAGGCAGAAGGCAAGACAAATGCGAGGGTGGTTTCTCTAGGCTGTGAGACAGTGAGGCGACCACCTATGGACACAGGGGCAGCATCCATGGGCTGACGGGTAACACAGACTTCCTCCCTGAGAGCCCATAGGAACCCTAGCCCCAGGCTGCTATTGTAGGTGTCCATGAGCCACCACTAGCCTACACTATTCCACGTCTCGCAGTACAAATGAGAGCAGGTTTGCTGCCTAGAAAATGCAGTGTGAAGATGGATTTCCCCTCCTCATAACTAGTACCTCAGTTTAAAGCAGGCTTGGTACCGCTGTGTGGATTTCAGTCTGCTGCAGAGCCCAGAGTCTGTTATTCACACAACTTTATTCCTGCAACAGGCATCCATTTGGGGGAACCTTGGCTCTTTCCACATAACATAACAAGCACAATGGGGCTGTAGTCCTGACTGGGATCCCGGGACACTACTGACATAAATAACAAACAAGGCCTAAGGATGATTAAATACAGGCCCTAATTTAACAACAGGGAGCTATTCAGCATAAACTAGTGATTAGACCCCAGGGATGACTTCCAGATTCCAATCCCGGCTCTGGCAGTGAGGTAAGGTCCAGCCTTCACTGCTCAGTGCCTCAGTTTCCCTTTCTGTAAAACTAATCTGCCTCCTGGGGTGTGAGTCAGATCACATTTGTAAGGCACTTTGCCGCTATGAAGGGCTGGTGAATTTTTCAACACCAGAACTAGTGCCCTAGTGAGACTGAAGGCAGGCTGGCGCTGCAGGTGTAGGCTGCCCCCAAAGCTCACCTGCTACAGGTCAAACTGGATGATCAGAGTAGTCCTTTCTGACCCTATGGAGCACCTTGGGTAACCTGCAGTGTCTGTGGACCCCCCAGTGGAGTTCTGCACCCTCGGAGGGCTCTTCTCCATGGTCCACACCTCCCTCCCCATTACAGGCGCTAGCAGGCCAGTGACGCCCCCACGCTGCCCTCCCCAGCCAGCTGACCCGTGGCTGCCCAGAGGGAGCTGGGGGGCGCCTGTCCAGGCAGCACCCGCTCCCCCCATCAGTGGGAGGAGCCTAAAGTTTGCCGGTGACGTCAGCGGGTCCTGGCCCCGCCCCGGGGCGGGCCCCTATCAGTCCAGTCCCTGTAACTTTCCCACGCCGAACTCTAGGGAGATGCTCCAGGTGCCCGGAGCCGGGAGCGCGCTTGGCTCTGTCTGCCCCTCCCGGCCCCCTCAGGAGCCCGCCGCCAAGTGACGTCCGGCTCCCCCAGCCCAGGCACGGCGGGGCGGGCGGCACGGGAGCCCTGAGCGTCTGGGGCAGTGCTGAGGGACCCGGTACCTTCCCGCGGCTGGAGCAGGCTTGCAGGTGAGCCCGAGGGGCCGCGGGCGCGGGGCCAGGCTCGGGCGGCGAACTCGCCCGATTTGGAGGGAGGTGGCGCGTCGTGCATGCTGTGTGCCCCCCTCCCCGCAGTCAGCGCTGTGTGGAGCCGGGGGCTGTAATTCGGACAGGTGCTCGGCTGCCGGTCCTTCGCGCTGAGAGAGTGACTCTGGTATGAGTCTTTCCCTCCCCCCGGCAAGGGGAAAGCAGCGCCCACGGTGCGGGAGGCAGGAAGGCTACAAGAGGCTCGCTGCGCCTCCCGGGGGACGGCAGGGCAGAGACGAGGAGGCGGCTGGAGCCGAGCACGGGGGGTGCCCGGACAAAGTTACCCGGGGAAGGAGCCAGCGGCGGTGCCTGAGCACTTTGCAGGAGAGCTGCCGTTGCGCCCCCCCACCCCAGTCGCTAGCGGCTCCTTCCCATGCAGCTCGCTGCAGGCGCCCGGTGCAGCATGTGCGGAGGAGGGGGAATGCTCTGTTCTGCTCCGTTCTGGCCGGGAGCTGGCACCGGGCGGGAGCCATCGGGGAATGGTGCCCACAGGCCAGCACCCCGGGCAGTCAGGCGGGGCTACCCCGCAGCCGGAGCGGCGGAGTCCACCTGGCCAGGATCCGGGGGGCTGAGGACTGATCTGCGCCCAGCTCGGGCTGTTTTGCCTTCCATCCCCTCCCCCCAGCTCACCCCCTTGCGAGAGACGTGGCGCTAATTTCCATGACAACTGCTAATGTCACAAATAAAGGGAAGGCGCGGGGGGGCTGGGCTTCAGCGGGTGTTCAAGTTTTGCCAGGCAGAATGGGGGGAGGGGGCACGCCCTGGGCGAGGGGCCTGTGTGCGTGGGCCGCGTGCTGTGCCAGCGCCGGTGTGGGGGTGGGTGCAGCATGCCTGCATCTGGGGCCATGCCCGCCTGCGCCTGCAGGGGTGCGTCTGCCTTGCTCAGCCTGCGCGGGCAGGGGGCTCGCAGGCAGCCCTCCTGGGGTGGGCAGGTAGCACCTGTGGGATCGTGCCGCTGGCAGAGCATGCAGAGCTGGAGGGGGAGGGGGGGACGGCGTGGAGCCTTTGCTGGGCAGGAGGGGAGTATGTTATAAGTATCACAAGTAGATTCTCTCCCCCCCCCCCCGCCCTCCGAGGGATGCTGACCTCCAGCAGGTGCAGCGACAGGGGGTGAGGGCTGAGCCAGGCCCCCCAGCGCTGGCTGCCCATAGGTGGTTTCCATCCACTCTAGCAGAGCCTTGCACATGCTCAGGGCTGTGACGTTAGCCACCTGTGCTGTGTTTGGCTCCTGGGTGGGGATGCACATGTGATGGCTATGTATGTAAGAAGGGGGAGGGGTTGGAGTACTGCATCCCCCTTTCTCCTCGTGACTCCCTAGCTGGAGCTATCTCACAAAGCCAGATGCCCTCACCCCTTCCTTGACCTTCATTCGTAGGGTGTCAGGCCCTGGCTCCTGCCTCAGACCCTCAGTGGGGTTGGGGTGAGATTGTTCCATCCTGCCCTCTGCATGTGGCTCTGGCTGGGCTCTGGCCTTCTGCAGGGTCATCTGGGCAAAGGCTGGAGGGTAGGGCCGGGGCAACCCTGTGGTCCTCCCCCCCACCCCCTAGCCTTTAACACAGTCTGTCTGACCTCTCTACCTCCAATGGGCTCTGGCCTCCCTGACCCCCGCTGCTTCAGATCCCTCCTGCATCCTGATGCCTTCCCTTGGCCTGAGCTCCCTGCTGTAGCCCCTGGGCCAAGTGGCAAGCCCGGGGCTTGCACTGAAGTGGGGTCTGTCTCGAGGCCAGAACTCACCATCACCTGGGGCTGGAATTAAGGAATGGAAAATGTACAGAGAGGGGGAATCAGGCCAAGTAATAACCTCCTATTGCCACTTGGCTTGTGGAGGACCTAATGCTACCTGGGACTTTGGGGGGGCATGTCTGAGCTGCCCAGGATGCTGCAGAGCCAGTGCTAGTCTCCCCTCTTGCTACCTGGGGCACCGTGTCCCAGCTCGTCTCTCACTGGGAGCAACTGGTGGGTGGGGCTTGTGAATTCTCTCGGAGTATTGTGAGTGGTTGTTATTGGGAGCCAGCGATGGTTTGGATGTATTGTTCCTGTCAGAGTTCATGGGCTGGGTTTTCCCTTCCAGTAGCCCCAGCACTGTGCTAGACTGCAGGGAGTGGGAGTGCTCACTGAAGTCAGAGGCTGGCTGGCTGGGGCTGGTCTGTTAATCAGCACAGGCCTTGCCCTGGTTTGGGACAGCTGCTGGAGGGGTTTGCAGAGCTCCATGTGCAAAGGCAGTTGGCTTCAGGTGTGAGAGCAGGAGTCAGACTCCCTGCTACCTTGCTGAAGAGCCATCAGTTCCTACAGGCTGGGCCCCAGCCTCTGTGCTTCAGCCAATCACAGACCCATGGGCTTAGACAGGACCGCAAGGATCATCTAGTCTACCCCCCTGCCAAGATGCAGGATTTGTTGTGACTAAAAGCATCCTTGGCCTCCTTAAAATGCCTCCTAATGCACCTAGGAGGCTCCGCAGTGTTACTCAGATTCCCAAAATGTCTCTGTCCCTTTAACTCCTTTTCCAGCATGTGACTCATGAGTGTCATGTGGCAGTGAGTTCTATAGGTTATCAGCTGAGCCTCCCTCCTATTCTCTTGTTATGGGTTAGGGAGGAACCATGTCATTTCCACTAGATCCAGCGGGGGTCAGGGAGGCAAACCTCAGCCAAGTCCACTTGGAATAATTTGCAGTTCCAGATGCACTGACCCCAGCAACCCCCAACTCTTTTATATGTAATGTCCCCTCCCCCCATCCCCCTGATTTCCCCCCCCCCATCCCCACTGCCTTTTCCTGATCTGTTCTCAACGTTCACCTCTACAAGGACAGGATGCGAGTGCAGGGTTTGAAGTGTGAACAAACCACTGATTTATAAAACAGCATTTCCCCTTCCCCATTCTTTTAATACAGCCCAGCAGCCGACTTTCCTTTTTTCTGCTGCCGTGATTGATGTTGAGGCTATTAGATTCAATAAAGGCTCTTTCCTGGGGTTTCTTTATGATCTGCAGCCGTCTCACTTGAGCTCTGTTCTCCTCAGATCTCACAAGCTAAGTAGGGTTGGTCCCTGCTTGATACTTGGTTGGGAGAGTTCTGATGGGTTCCCTGCATGAAGCTCTGCCAGTGCCCCTTTAGTCCCAACCTGCAGCCCTCTGCTATGCCAGTCCTGTGCTTCTATCCCATCCCAGCTCTGCCAGTGCCACTCAATCCCAATTTAGCACCGCTGTGGTCTCCATCTGTTACTCCTTGCACCACCATGAGCAATCCCTTTTAGGCTGTTTTGGGGGCTGATATCACAGCCCCATTAATTTAGGTCCATCTCGGGGGCCTGATCAGTGGCTGTCGCTCTTCCCTCTGGGTTCAAAGAAAAAGTCAGACAGTGTCAGAAGAGAAGCCACTATAGGTAGCCCAAGTGCCACCCGGAGCGAGCTGTCGCCTCCCGGGTACATGTGCCCTTGAGTGAGCAAAATTGCCCTGCTTGCTGCTCCGTTCTCTGGCAGCCACTCGCCTAGTTGGAAATGGAAGCAGAGCTCCAGAAAGCTCTAGGCAGAGGCGGCTGCTTGTTAACCTCCAAGGTTGGGCTCAGACTGTGATGGCGGGCTGGAAGGTGCAAAATGAGTCGGATGGGGGTGAGAGCCTAACAGGCCGGGGCTATGTGTATGGGCTGAGGACAGGTGAGGGCTGGGAAGCTAATTTAAAGCAGCAGGGATGTTTATGTTGAATCGGGCTCCTTGGCTTGTGAAAGCTGCGTCATCTCCTCATGCCATCCACGCCCTGCCTCCTACTTCCCCAGCTATTGTCTTATGCTGTTGCGTCTTGTCTTAAATTAGATGCTAAGCGATTGGGGGCAGGGGCTTTGTGCGTGTGTGTGTGCATAGCATCTCTTCCCCAGTCTGGTTGGGGGTCTGCTGTAAAAGACAGAAGAACATCAACAAACTCCTAACTTGTCTGCTCCCCTTGCCACCCCCAGGACTCTGCTGGCATCACCAGGGTGCAGATCTCTGCCACTCAGTCCCTGTGACCAGAATTATGCTCCTGCAGTGTTGGCTGCAGCTGCCCCATGGCGAATCCCCTGGCTCCTTTGAATTAGCTCTGCCTCCCCTGCTCTCCGTGACACTGCCCTGTGTGGTCTTATCTGTGCATTCACACAGTGAGCTTCCCACAGAGCCTTAACAAGGATGTTAGCAAAACTGGACCTGCACCCAAGCCCCACACGGCCCCTTTTCCCCAGCTAGGCACATGGATGTGGGTTGCTGCCCCATGCCATCCATGGGGCCTGGTCGTGCTCACTGAAGTCAATGGGAGTGGAGAGCATGTGACCCCTTTTAGGGGGTGCTCAGGATGTGCAGAATCAGGCCCAGCCAAGCCACGTGAGGTGTCGCTGGGTGCTCTGGAATGCTGCTGTAATATCCGAGTTACTCTGCCCTGGCTCCCCTGAGCCTATGATTATAGAAACCCAAAAGCTGTCATGTTTCCTTGGCATGGCCTCTTCCTTTAGATCGCCAAGTGCTGCCTATTGTTCCTGGTTCCATTCTCCTCGAACAGCTGCCAGGTTCTTTTCTGGTTAGTGCCCGTTCTGCCTGGCTGAGACAGTCAGACCTAGCTGGCGATGCTCTCCTTTGCTGTGTGAGGGCCTGGCTCTACATTCACTCGTCTCCTCGCTTCTGCCTCTCTTCCTCCCCCCTGCCCCGTCCCTAAAGCTGCCATTGGTGTGGCAGTGACTCTGTGCCAATTCCCTCCATATCCAAGTGCATGGGAATGCCACCTGATCTGTGGCTGTGCAAGCCCAACCTAATGTGCATGACGCTGCCCCCTGGTGGAGCAGACTGGAAATGCAGCATCCACTTAAGTAATATTAAAAACTTAACGGAGGGTCCTGTGGCACCTTTAAGACTAACAGAAGTATTGGGAGCATA